ATACATTACATGTATATAGATAGATAAACATATATACTCAGGCATGTAGATTCTCGGGTATATTCTATGCACGAGAATCATGCACACGGCACAATCAGTTAGGTAATTGGACAACGTACGCAATGAATATACGTCTAGTAATCACGTACACACATTCTTAGGCGTATAAATATCGAATAAACCGAATACTACTGATACTACCGTACGTAGAATGTGGATGCCCAACGGGGTCATCCACCCCCTCACACCCCTACGCCAAAAACAATGACTTCAGATTGATTGGGTAGGGGTTGTATGAATCTATCAACAACAAAATCTGTGGAGAGTATGGTCTTATATGAGTGAAATGTATTGAAAAGTGTAGGTATAGCCTAGAAGAATCCAGAATGTTTGTTTGAGTGACTAGGGATACATGATTCACCCGCACTCCACACCATACCTGGTATGTGAGTGTACTACGATGTGATCGACACCACCTCTTCGCCAGAACCACTGACTCTCTAGCAGTGTCCAGTATGTAGCGTCCCACAGTTGCATTTGTAAATTTCTCTTCTCTCTGTATAGAAATAGACAACGTGCAGAATTGAGACTGTCTGGTTGCATGACAAGATGACAGTTGCACATATTGGGTGGGTAGATGAGGTTCTCTCAGTGTCAGGACTGTCTGGTTGCATGACAAGATGACAGTTGCACATATTGGGTGGGTAGATGAGGTTCTCTCAGTGTCAGAGCATGTACTCACTGCTTTCGTTTATCTCTCTATAAACCACTACTCAGAACAGAGCGAAGTACGAATTTTACCACTGAATATATACCAGTCGCTGACGCAGTGGTAGGTATACCACCTCTTGGTACGGATATATACATATCCCACAGTGGTAATTGTATGCGTTATCGACCCAAATTCAAGACCAACCTTTAACCCTAAAACCATAGAGGCCACTTTGAATATCATAGCAGTAAAATAATAAGTTAGTATTGGTATACACGCACAGTTGCTTTCGTATATCCCTTCTCTCCGTACGGACGAGAACATCGAAAAAAAATTCAAACCACTGATACACGGATCTAAATAGCGGTGTCGACAAACGCATTGTACGCTCGCGACAACTAGTCAACGTTATTTCCCAGACACTTTCATCAATTGCACCGTGTACTAGAACACATCAGATTGCAGGATAAGCCCGACGCGCCTATCCACTCTCGCTGTATGAGTGGCGACGGTATATAGAGCGCGAACACAACTGTCATATACTATGGGCAGACGTGTCGCAGACATTCTACATAAACCCTTGAGATAAACAATACACTACCACTCAGTGTATTGCAAGTGGTGGTGTCTGTATGTGCTTCATACCAATGGTGTTTAAACTTCATGCAACTCAACAGTCAACCACATAGATCCATGAGTCTATACCATACACCAATAGCAAATGAGGTATATATATACTGAATGTTGTGCTTACTTATCGTCTTTAAATGTCATTGCCATTCGTCCGTAGAATGGAACAAAGAAAAAGTCCGCTTCCTCGGGGTTATCAGTGAGTACCGCACTTCGTTTCACATTGTGATTGAGAACTTTCTCCAGACTGAATTGGAACAGCTGGTCCGCATATTGCAGTGACCATGAAGACGAATGTCAGACCTTTAAAACATTAAAAACGGTAGGCTGGTGTCGATTGAGCAGTTTATTCTAATAGACATTAACAACTACATAAAAATTGTGCTTTGCCATGAGCCCGGGATTGGCTTCACTTACACCTACGCTTCCATAAATCTTGTCCACTCTCAATCATATGAACATGCCTGCGACACAAATGAACGTGAATAGACAGTTCCGAGGCTAGCCAAATCTGTTCAGATCCTCAGAGAGTTCGCTTGGGGGTTGCCTCCCCAGCGTGAAAGCTTTAAGAAAGCCGGAGAAACGTTCTTTCTGATGCACGCTATATAATCAGATCACAGCTAAGTCTAAACTTGTACAATACAACCAGACCTCATCTAAATCTCAACTAATTTTATACAGATAGAAAACATATTGAAAAGTGCTTGCTGATATAAGGAATATTCTGGTCTACAAGCGCGTATGCGCTCATACGGTTCCTATGGTTTGACTAACAAGCAAACTAGGTTGAGAGCACATACAGGGTCTAACTCGTCCAGTGCCCACACGTTTCTCGCGCTCATCTGAGTTAGGATTGAATCCATCGCTTTGTACCTACAAGGGAAGGCGAATGGTTTAGTACAAAATAAATAGAGAATACTTGAGATTATATCAATGCACTAAACATGCACTCTGAAAATTCCTGACTATAGCATATATATATAATTTGTTCGACACAACCTCTGACTCTTCATCCCGGAGAAAGAGTTTACCATGATCCTTTTGGGTGTTTTAAAATGCAAATTGATGTCAATTCTGCCCAAGACCTCGCGGCGATCTAACACGGTCTCTCGTTGTAGCTGTATGAATAATCGCATATATATATATATGTATATGTATATGTATATATATAAATATATAAATATAT